CAAAAATAAATAAAATAAAATAAATAAAAAATAAAAGACACCTCCTGGGAGAGGCCTTCTTTGACCTTCTCCTCCAAAGCAGCTCCTCAAGTACTTTTTAAAAAATCCCATCTCCCTGTGTCATTTTTCTTCCTGGAATTTACTGCTATCTGTCATTCTCTTGTTTATTATTTCTCCCCCCAAATGAGTACAGCCTCTGTGAGAGCAGGGACCCTGTCAGTCTTTTCCCAGCTGTGCACACAAAGCATCGACTGCCCTGACAGACACCAGCCCAGGGCACAGACATTGCCCAAAGTGCCAGGCTGGAAGGATAAGAGCCAATCCCTGGGACAGTCTAGGCCCAAGGAGTTCAGGGAACCAGGAGACAGGAGGTAAGGCAGAGCAGGTGTACAGACCTGGAGGCCAAGGGGGAACCAGGCAGCAGGGAAACAGAATATTGGTGGGGGGCTGGCAGAGAAGCTGAGGGCTCATAGCTGCTTCAGCCTGAGCTGGTGACCAGTCCAGGGCAGAGCGTCCCAGCGCCCAGAGAATCAAGTAGGTGAGAAAAGTCAAGGTTAATAAGGTGTGGATGTACCCCTGGGTGGGGGAGGCGTGTTTCTCATCACCCTAGATTTCTATTCCTGCTACTTTGAGAACACAAGTGGACCAGGCCTGGCCTGTTAGATAAGAGGTGATCACTGGGCATCAGAATTTGGGTCAGGCCATTGGAGACAGAGACCAATTCACCTCAGAAACAAGCACAGCATTGACTGGGCGAGTGACACCATTCGGGACGCAACTCCCGAGAAATCACAGATGGGCATGGCCCTGCCACGCGGGCCTGGGAGATGCAGCAGAGGCTGAGCTACAGACGGCTCTGGCCCCACATGCTCCTCCCCACAGTGACAGAGAAGCACCCAGAAACACCCTCCACACCCCAGGAATGAATGCTGCGACCGTTTCACACAGGCTGCCCGGGATATCTTCCAGGCACTGCTTCTGAATGACCATATCCCAAAAGAAAGTCAGAAGTCTCTCTTCAAATCACCAGAATGAGGACGGGGCGGGGCGGACACACCATTTGAAAGTTCTTCTACTGTTGTTTAAGAACCAGTCAAACGAACAACCAACAGCAACTGCATGTCAGAGACTGACAAACATTTTTGGCAAAGGACCAGACAGTAAACATCTTAGGCTTTGCACTCTCTGCAGCAACTACTCAGCTCTGGGATTGCAGTACAAAAGCAGCCACAGACAACACATAAACAATGGGGTGCTGGGTTCCAAACCCATATGAAAACAGGAGGATCCGGCCCAAGGCCATGGGAGTCCTGGGAAATTGTTGAGTCAAGGAAGGACACGATCGCACGAGTGTTTTAGAATGAACTATGGAGACTACTGAAAGATGGAGTCAGCACACTTTAGATGTTATGGGAAATAAATACTGGTACTGCCACGTTGCTCTGTTATTACAGTTGTTATAAACAAATGGCAGTGTTTGTGTTTCAATGAAACTTTATTTACACAGACAGGCAGAGCTCCAAATATGACCCGCAGGTCATGGTTTGCTGAACACTTCTGCCCTAGCATCTCAAGTAAGGAATTTTAATCTAAAATCAGCTACTGTGATTCTTAAAACACCTGTCACAGCTACTTAAGACAAATTTCTAGCACATTAAGAGCCTCTGATTATACCAATATGGGTTGGGAGAAGGAAGAGGTTTGTTTGTTTGTTTTTTTGGTCTATTAACTGGATTCATTCAAACCAGACACAGGTCCCAGCCACAGAGGGTTAGCTCTTCACTGTCCCAGAGCAGACATCCAGGCAGTGCTCTGTACATGGGCTGCATCTGTGGCAGAAAAAGAGACTGCAAACCAATGGCTCACGCATCCTCATACCCACTCCACCAGCCCAGCTAAACCACTGTATATCCGGCAGTCTCCATACTTCCATCTCACACATAACATCACCCACCAGAGCTGCCTGGCAACTGACATGCCCACAACTGCTAGTGATGGATTCCAGGGGAAGCACACATCATCAGAATGGCTCTCCAGCTTTCCAGGACTGGCTCTGGACTATACCATCTGGCTCAATCCCAGTTGCTGACACCAAGAGCTGAGAACCAGGGAGAACTAGCCTGGCAAATTTTAAACAATAAAATCCAGTTATCTGCTTAAGGACTTCCATAAGAAGATGCTGTTAGATGGGGTTTGCTGTTTCCAATCTTCGTGCAGTGGTTCTCTTGGGGCCCCCCAAGCCCGGAGACATTTTTGATGCTACTGGCATCTAGTGGGTAGAGGCACCAGAGATGCTGCTAAACGTCCTACAAGGTACAAACAGTCCCCCACTCATAGAATTATCCAGCTCCAAACATCAATAGTGCTGAGATGAAAACCTAGGTCTGGGTAAGATTTCATCGCATGATGATCCCCAAACCTCAAGCACTAATGCACAGTCCAATTAAATTCCCGAAACTCAGCTCCAAAGACCACTTTGATTGGCATGTCGAGTTGATTAGATGAAAGAAAAAAATAAGTCAGAGGTGCCGATGGGGCCGTTTGGTTGTTTCTTTGTTGTTTTTGAGGAGAATTATTATTTTGCTAAGGTTCGCCTGTAAACGGAGGAAGCTGAAATAAATTTCTGTAGTTTCTTTAAGCTCCAAAGTCCTTTGATTACAAGTACATACAGTGGTTCATATTCTAACAGACTACTCTGGGGTTTTTGATAGCTTTCTAAAAAACATACTGTCTCGGGCTTCCCTGGTGGCGCAGTGGTTGCGAGTCCGCCTGCCGATGCAGGGGACACGGGTTCGTTCCCCGGTCCGGGAAGATCCCACGTGCCGCGGAGCGGCTGGGCCCGTGAGCCATGGCCGCTGAGCCTGCGCGCACGGAGCCTGTGCTCCGCAACGGGAGAGGCCGCAACAGTGAGAGGCCTGCATACCGCAAAAAAAAAACAAAAAAACAAAAAAACAAAAAAACATACTGTCTCGGTCAGGCTGAAAAACTAACACCCGATCATTGCTCTTTAGAGTGTGGAGGAAACCCACCCTATGAGATGCTTAGCAGTACACAAGAAATAAAACTGGTCGAAACAACTAGAAAAAATAAAGTCTATAAATTTACCCATTCGTGAGGCTTCCTACTTCCCACGGTAAAGGCTTGAGAGAGACCGAGATAAACAGAAGGAGGAAGTTACTACAGGACTAGACCTCTTTCCCTCCAGATGTGTAACGTGGAATGCACTGAACCAGAAACTGAAAAACGGCATCGGTTTTACTTGTGACATTTACTTGTAACCCACTGGTAACACCAACGATGACAATTTGCTTTGTCTTTTTCTGACAGTTTACCTATAACATTTGGGAATTATTACAGAAGATCCAAGTCAATGAGTAATTTTAAACGCACCCTCTGAAAAACTACCCAGCTGTTTTTCAAGGTCAGCTCTCAAAGAAGTCTCATTTTTTGATCCATTAGATTGAAAAAGGTGACATTTTATTTAGACATATTAAAAACCAGTGCCTACAAATCTTGAAGGAATAGATTAAAAGCAGACTGTGTGATCATTCAAACAGTAGGCACTGAAAAAGAATGTCCACATTGTATGTTAAAAGAAACCATTTCCTCCTTACCAAAAAAATATATATATAATTTTTATATCTATATATTTATAAAATTAAATTAATTATATATATATATATAATTTAAAAATAACCAAGTTTCCTGGATCCTTTTGAAAAGAAAAAATGTATATGTAACATTGAGCATGATTTCCTATGTTTAAACTCAAGCTTCAACCTGTGGCTACACATTTTCAGGAATCATCATTTGACCTCTACATACTTCAAAGACCTTGAATGGGTCACAAAGTAGAACATCGAACTTTCCCACCTTGCCCAACCCCACTCTTCTATCTGATTTATAGTATAACTCAGATCTCAAACCGTGAGGCCACTGAAGTCTCCCTTCAATGACCAGAACTGTCACTGAATAGTAACCAAGGTCATCTTCTGTGGATTAAGTCCACCCCAATACTTGGTGACCACAGGAGGGCTGGGACTTGGATTCTCCAAAATACAGTCTGATCTAAATTTCATTTGCAACTTGCGTTTTGTATTTGTGTATGTTTTTCTAAATTTTATTTACACAAACATATATATACATATGTTTATGTGTGTATATATATATAGTGTGTATACACATTTTTTAGAAAGATATACACTGAAATGTTAATTGTGATTACTTTCTACAGTAGTAGATTTATATGTGATTTTCCTTTTTCTTCTTGATTTTTTGCTTGTCTACAGCTTCCAACTTTTCTATATTAAGCCTAACTTTTGCTGAAAGAAAAATAAGTAATACTCCATATGTGTATTTTTTTTCACTCAACCTCATTTCAAAACGGATTTCAAGCACCTGACAAAAAAAGCAATGAGTACAGAAAGATTTCTTTCAAAGCGAGGGCAACCAGAGACCACAGCAAGACACAACAGCGGTAAACTCTGAGGAAGCCAAAGGTTAAAACTATCAGCCAGCACGTAAGCCCTGATGTCCCTGCATACTGGCCAGAGGGAGGCACACATCCGGCTCTGAGTTTCTTGGCATCCATAGGGCATTCTTCCCCACCCTCCTTACCTCACGCCCACCAGTCCTAATTAAGGTTTGTTTAGGGAACGATAATGAGAAGATTTTTCTACATTCCCTGATCATCCCCCCAGATGAGATCATGCAGTCCAGCAATGTGTCCAGAGACGAGGCGGCAGCTGCAAATACAACCTACAGAGCGCCAACTAGGAAGCCCCACTGCTCCTGGCGCTAAGGGTCAGCGTGCACAAGAGGTCAGAATCTCCCAAAGGGAGTAGCTTTAACTTTCTAAAAGTGTCCCTCTGTGGGCAGTTTATCGCCATGAAGGTAGCGGCGAGGGATATACTCAATCCATGACCAAGTCTGAGAGCCTCTGGGGTCCCTTGGAGGCAAAGCCACACTCGACGGAGGAGCCCCGGCAGTGTGGTGCTTACCGTAAGCTGTCATGACCCCCGCGTAGGGCCCATCCACCACATTTCTGTTTTCTTCTGCCAGCGCCTTGATGTACCTCTTGCTGAGGTCCAGGATCTGTTCCCGAAGCATGGAGCTGCTCTCGGGCTGAGTTCTCTGCTGGATGGTAAAATGCAAGAGCATCATACCCCAAATAAAGCCAAAAGTCACGAGGAAAAAGCCCAGCTTCTGAGAGGACAGCTTCCACGGAGTAAAGAGAGCCATTGCTCTCTGGCAACTTCACCTGCCCTGGGCTCTTACAGTGTGGAAAGGAGACACAAGTTCATGGTGTAGGCTGGGCTTGTGGGTTTCTCCGTCTCACTCGGGCTCCTGCGTCAGCCGATTTCCTTTCCTCGTTTCCATCCTGCTGTAAAGAAGGGGGAAAGTTAGCAGAGTCCTTGTGGCAAAACACAGTGAAATCAACCAGAGCCTTGTTTTCACCCAAATAGCTCTAAAACGTGAACTTCCTTTTTTCTTAATCTGCCAGTTCCCTATCTTATGTTATGATTCGGGATCTGTAAACGGAGAGGGGAAATCTGGCTGGGTGATGAAAAGCTGTACAAATACGGAGGAGGGAAATGTGTGTCTGCACGTGTTCACAGGTGTAGCAGGGCTCTTCCAGTCTGGACCAAGTTCAAAACAGGAAGCTTGTTCTGCAAGGTGGGGAGGAGATGGAAGGATATTTCACTGAATGTCAGCAAAAACCCAAGTGGAGGGTGGAGTCTCATCACCACCCGGCACTTTTGTGCCTCTGAAACTTGAACTTACAAAGTCATCATTATGTGCTCTAGCAAGGACAAGGGCCCGCAGCTGGAGAGGTGAGCCAGAAAGTGGATGCCCCTGGCGGGTAATCAGACAAGGAAAGGGGAGAGAGCCCCCCGTATTACTTAAGCACGGACAGCTTTCGGTAGCAGCGTCCGCAGCTGAGCCGAATGCCTCGGGGACACCAGGTGGCCTCGCCCTAGGCACCAGCACAGAGAGGCTATGCCAGGGGTACCCAGCCGTCTTTCCGTGCTAGCTACCACGAGTGAAAGCTGCACCACACTCCTCACTTGCACACTTCAGCACAGGAAATGCGGGGCACACGATGGCCTGCTTTTTTGTGGTTCTCATTTTCACTCACACCGTGGGACAAAATGCGAGGTTAAAAGCCATCGTTTCAATACGAATGCAGCCAGATCCTACCTGGTACCAGCACAGGCTGGACAACAAATGGCACCGTTTTTTAAGCAAAGGCTTAGCATGACCTGCTACGAGGGACTAACCCAGGATGTATTCAGAGTGTGCCTATGTTTCAGATCAAAGGATTCTTCCTCCTAAGCAGCCTAAAAAGAAATGACAATGGGATTCTGGGGACAATTAGCTTTCAGCGTCTGCGATGCAGGGGATCTGTTTTGGTCTTCCTCTCTCACCCTTCTCCTCGCCTATCAAGAGTCATCAGTACCTGGTAGTACCTCTACTGATAGTAAATGATAAATAAATTCTAGTTATGTCCCAGGCACTGTGATAGATGCTGTTTGTGCCTTAGTTCATTGAATTCTTGAAAGAATCCTATACGGTAACAACTATTAATGTTATCATGTCTGTTTTATAGATGAAAAAACAAGGACACAGGGAGATGAACTTGGCAAAGGTCAGCCAGCTATGTGGCCGAGGAGGGATAATCTAGGGATAAGCCAGCCCAGGAGTCAGTAAACCACACCCTGCCTTCCAAGGCCATCCTTCCTCCTCAGTTTCTTTATGACCAAGAATGGTCTGTACATGCTTAAAGGGCTGTGAAAAGCAACGAAGACTACGTGACTGAAATCTTATGTAGCTCAAAAGCCTAGAACATTCACTCTTGGCCCTTAACAGAAAAAGTTTACCAACTGCTGAATTCTAGGCCAGTGGTTCTCAAAGCGTGGTCCCTAACCCAGCAACAGCAGGAGCATCAGTGAGAGATGCCAATCCTCAGGCCCCACCCCAGACCAACCAAATCAGCAACTGGGGGCGCTGGCGGGGTGGGGCGTCCAGCATCCTGTGTTTCAATCAGCCATCCAGGCGATTTTTTGTTGTTTTTTTGGCTGCGTTGGGTCTTCGTTGCTGCGCACGGGCTTTCTCTAGTTGCGGCGAGTGGGGGCTGCTCTTCGTTGCGGTGCGCGGGCTTCTCATTGCAGTGGCTTCTCTTGTTGCGGAGCATGGGCTCTAGGCGCACGGGCTTCAGTAGTTGTGGCTCGCGGGCTCTAGGGCACAGGCTCAGTAGTTGTGGCGCACGGGCTTAGTTGCTCCACAGCATGTGGGATCTTCCCGGACCGGGCTCAAACCCATGTCCCCTGCACTGGCAGGCGGATTCTTAACCACTGCGCCACTAGGGAAGCCCGTCCAGGTGATTTTGATGACCACTCCAGTTTGAGAGGCCTGGATGCAGGCAGACGGATGTCGTCACGATGCCACACCACCGCACTGGCAATCAATGTGGCGGGAGCTCCCTCTGGGCCCCCCTTTATCACATAAGTTCCTCTGGCCCATCGCTCTCCACTGTGATGCTCCTCCCCAGTCTTAAGTCGTAAAACCCATGTCTGTCTACCTTGCTTTTTTTTTTACCAGTTTCTGTGTAGGATCCATGACATCCTTTAAGAGACTCCCATGCTTATGTTCTCAGAGACAGAGAGTGACCCAAGGGGCACAAATAAAATACCTGTTGACTGAATGAGCTTGTCACCCAGGCACTGTGGCACTTCATTCAGCCCCTCTAACGTGGGCCAGATGAAAGGCACCTGCCATCCACTCCTTCTACAAGGATACACTGAGCAAGGACCCACTTGTTGTCATCAGGCCCTGGGGACTGAACTGGGAACAAGACAGGGCTCCCACCCTTTTAGAAGCCACCCTTCTAACCAGTGCTGCCCTTAGTTCCCCAGGAAATGTCTGCACTTCCTTTTCTATAACCCACGCCAGTTAGCCGATGTCACCCCAGGGCTGAAGGGATTTTCCCAGAGCAAGTAAACGAGCTGCTGTACCAAGAAAGACAGTCTCTGGTAATTTTCTTTTGCTATTTTAGGAGACAGACGCACGTGCAGACAGGAATTACCTGTCAGCTTTCAGACAGGAAGCCCTGCTCCGCTTCCTCGATGAACCTCCCTGAAGAAACTGCTCAAGGATGCAAAGTTTAAGCAAAGGAAAGACCAGGCTCGAGAACTGAGCAAGGGGCTTCCCTGGTGGCGCAGTGGTTGAGAGTCCGCCTGCCGATGCAGGGGACAGGGGTTCGTGCCCCAGTCCGGGAAGATCCCACGTGCCGCGGAGCGGCTGGGCCCGTGAGCCATGGCCGCTGAGCCTGCGCGTCCGGAGCCTGTGCTCCGCAACGGGAGAGGCCACAACAGCGAGAGGCCCGTGTACCGGCAAAAAAAAAAAGAACTGAGCAAGGACCCAGTACAAGATGGCGTGCTTCTCTGCCTTGACCTTGGGGACAGTCAGGACCACCCAGGTGGTGCATTTGAGGGGCAAAAGGATGGTCAAGAAACCCAGTCGTGGTTAAATTTTTCCAGCTCAGAGACATAAAAATTTGGAGTGAAAATCTCTAAGTTCAGAGCACAGTTCTGACTATTGAGGGCCCAGATTTTAAGTGACTACAGAACTGCCAGAAATATTCCTTTCTCCGATGAAATCCAGAGTTTGAAATAACAGCATCTATATCAGCACACACACACAGAATTAAATTGGAATCCATCTCTACAATTCCTACTAGAAAGAAAGAATTTAGAAAGACTTTTCAAAATCATCATTAGGGAGACATCCCTAACTGCAACAGTAACAGGACAATAATAGGACAGCAATCCATACCAGAGGGTGTTGGTGCCATGAAAGGACTTAATGATAATTATCAGTCATGGCTATGATGTTAATCAAGAGGCCACAGAACAAAAGCCATCAAAATGTTGTCGGGCTAAAAATCTGCCTGCCTCCTGATCTCCTAACGAACAGCTGGGTCCTCTCCCAAACTGGATTCAGTAAGGCACAAAGAAGGCTACACAGTATATCTCAAGAGGTCTTGCTGCCAACCAGAGCAGTGACAGCCCAGGGCCACGGCTTCATCTGTCCTCCTCCAGAAAGAAGTCTGTACCAAGTCTGTTCCTAATATGTTACGCTTCTGGATTCATCACGGACGCTAATCACCCTAACATGCATCTCCTCTCTTCTTGTACTTGTGAGCAGCGTGCACTTCCTCCCTTCCCACTCATCCTCAACAAAATGTGATCAAAGATCTGTGGCAAAGAAATGCATCTTAATTTCAAACATAAAAGTATATGAAAAGACACTCAACGTCATTAGCCATCAGGAAAACGCAAATCAGAAGCACAATGAAATACCAAGCCCCATCCATCAGGACGGCTACAGTCAAACAAGACAGATAAGAGCAAGTGTTGGTGAGGGTGCAGAGAAATGAGAACCCTATATATCCTGTGGGTGGGACTGTACAATGGTGCAGCCGGTGTGGACAACCGTCTGGCACTTTCTCAAATGATTAAACAGACAGTTATCCTAAGACCCAGCTAACTCCACTCCTAGGAATTCTCCCGAAAGAAATAAAAGCACGTGTCCGCACAAAAACTTATACATGAACGTTCACAGCAACATTATTCATAATAGACAAAAAAATGAAACAACCCAAATGGTCATCAACTGACAAGTGGATGAGCAAAATGGGGTACAGCCATACAACGGAGTTCTATTCGTCAATAAAAAGAAACGAAGCACTGATACATGTTACAACATGGACGATCCCTGGAAACACCGTGCTAAGTGAAAAAAGGCAAAAAGGCAGTCACAAAACACAACATACTGTATGATTCCATTGATATGAAATGTCTCGAATAGGCACATCTCTAGAAGTAGAACTTACAAGAGTAGTTTCTTAGGGCTTGAGAGGATGGGGGATCTGGGAGGTGACAACTAAGAACTGCCAGGTTTATTCTGGGTGGTAATCAAAATGTTCTAAAATGGACTGTGGTGATGGACGCACAATTCTGTGGATATTCTTAAAAAAAAAAAAAAAAACCAACACTGAATTATATACTTTAAATGGGAGAATTGGATGATAGGTGAAACATATCTCAATAAAGCTGTTACGAAAAAAAAAGCAAGCAAGCAAGCCCACCTCCAAAGTTGGGGTAGAAGCTGAATTTGAAGACAGGCAGATAAGCCTCGGGGGCGCACTGTGGCCCCAGCAAGGAGCCACCCTTCCCCCACTGCCTACAGCACAGCCAAGGTAAGGCTGTGCCCTTACTAAGGGCTGACCACAGGCCCAGCGCCAGAAGGAAATTACAGAGAAATGTGCCACCCCGTTTACAAGACACAGCTGTCCTTCCCAGCTCTGGATCAACCTCCCGGGCC